GTTCGTTCGTTCGTTCATTCATTCATTTATTCATTCATTTATATTGACAAAGCTCAATGATTGCATAATACCATTACAGCTGGACTTTTTCACCAGATGACTCACTCGCCTTTTGACAGGTAGCCCATAAATATAACACAGACCCTCATTAACCTGTCACCTATCTCCATATTAATTTGATGATCGTTGACAGCATAATGGAGTTTTTCCCTTTTATTTAATATTTTCTTTTTTCTTTTTTAACTCAGAGACCAACCTGTACTTCATAGTAATAACTTCTTTAACAAAGGATCAGCTTATGAGCCATTAGCTTTTAGTTTCGTTATGCCAATGAATCCCGAATTAGTCTAAGCAGCTGCAAGTATGCGTGATGTTGACCTGTTTGTTGCTTTCAGTTGATGGAAGAGTGCTAGATATATTTAATTTGCATTTGGCAGCAATTTTACCTGATGACTTAAAAAGTTATAATTGGCAAAACTTTGAGTAACTTTGAAGAAAAAAAAAAAAACACGGCCATTTTAGCCGCCTCCTCTTTTTCTAAAAATCCATTTCTATAGTAATCACTCGATGTTCAGTTGCATTGACCTAATATCGAGCAGCTGCCCCAGTCCGTTCTGGGAGGAGGAGGAGGAGAAGAAGAAGGAAAAACTGTTTTCTCCCTAAACACTTAATTTCAGATGTTATCAGGCTGAATTAAAAATGAACTACAGATCGTATATTACGGAATGTAGTTAGACGCTACAGATAACGAACGCCACAGTTCGAATCCACAGGTTTAATCATTGCACGTAAGCGCGCGAGAGTGAGTGAGTGAGAGAGTGAGTGAGTGAGTGTGTGATTCAGCTGAAAAATAAACAAGGCAAAATACCTAAAAACAAAAATATAACTACACTAAATTGATAGCGGAGTAAAATGAACTTACGGCAAACTGTGACGAGTCCAACAGGATTAAACTTTTCAGAATAATAATTCAGAAGCTCACAACAAGTGAAATGCTAGGTAAACCGCGGTAGAAAGCGGAGAAACTTAACTGCCAGTCGCTAACAATGCAAGCACTGGCGAAAACTGAATAACACACTATGCATAATGATGCTAAGTAAAGTACTAATGGGTAGATTAAGTTACCCCCAAAGGCAACGCGGAAATGCGAAATAAAAACAAAGAAAATTCTAGTTGCTACACGGAATATTTAGTATACGATTTCAAGGCCCATAATGCTTTAATTAGTACTCCGAAGACTGTAAACTGTATAGAGCGCTATTAATGTTGGACTCTCACGGTTTGAGAACGAGGAATATTCATCAAAGTTTGCGCGTTTGGGCATTCACCTTTAGAACGAGGAATAAACATCATAATTAGCGCTTTTCAACTCTCCAGCTTTAGGGACTCCGACGAATATACACTGTATTTAGCGCTTTACGGCTAAACTTTGTCACGCTTTGAGAACAAAAATATTCATAGTGTTTAGCGCTTTGGGGCATTCACGTTTTTAGAACGCGGAACATACATTCTTATTGTAAAACAATCTGGAATATTCTGGGAATTTCCAGAATTTTTCTAGAAATATTACAGAAATATTTTCGAGAAATTTTTAGAATTTACCAGTTTTCTTTTCTGGAAAATTCTAGAAAATTCTACAATGTTAATGAAGCATGCTAATTTGGGTAGGAAATTCCAGCTTTACTCCAGGAATCATAATTTGAGATCAAATCAGGTTTTTCCAGCTTTTTCCAGCTTTTTCGCAGGGCCCCTTTTGATACCAGCCAAGTGCTGATTGGGCCACCCTGCCTAAATAAAGTTGACCTTGACCTTGACCTTGACCTTCGAATTCGTTACCATTGCTGCTTTCTAGATTTTTGTAGAAAATTCTTGCATACTCTTTAATGAAAGCAAGCTAAGATACGCCGAAGTGGAATGTTAAAATGATATATTAATTAGCAATGAAACTGAGAGATAAAGGAAATCAGGATCTGCTTAACAAAGCGGTTTCGAATCTTCCTCTTGTTATTAAATATTCCAAAAGGGATTCCATCAAATGCATCAAATGCGGATGACTCATTGACGACCTTGTTCCCGTGATCCCCCGGGAATGCATGTTTCATGCATATGTTCCCTTGTACCCTATGTTCCTGTGAACGCGGATTAACATTGACCATGTTCCCCTATTCTCTAAAACCAGTGGGAGACCTATTAAATGGCGTCGCACACAAGATGCTAACCAACTGTGAACGGTTAGTTATTACTTCAAATCTATCCAACGCTTGAAATATATGTTAGATAACAAAATATCGCGGTAGCAATTTTACTTTTTTTGAAACAGTGAACAAGTAACAAGTCCACATTAGTTGCTATTAATAAATTAAACTAGCAAAAAATCTACCAGATATTTATTTCTCCAAGAGTTACAATTGCATTATATCAGCTGGGTTAATCATGGCATGAGTTGTTGGAACATTATATAAAGACAGTGCACTTGAAAAGTGGATTAGTGCGATATTTGTTCGGCTATCGCCTAACGTATTAACCTCGCTATTATTGGAGTGACCGCGGGACTTGCAATGAAATAGTTGTGAAACAGCTTTTCTATAATCTGGCATTCTTAAACAATAAATCAAAAAATTAATAAACGAATTACTGAACTGAAGGAGTTTAAGAACAAAAACGACCACAATGTGAATTACTCTACACGGCACACACATATTTGCTACAACTACTAGAACCTGGAATGGTAGCCAAGTCAACACAAATGTTCCTGTTATCAAAAACAATGTCTTAGACAGCCTCGTCTCTCTCCTCGCCCTTACTCCGTTATGTATGCGGGAAGTCTGCTTACGCCAGATGACGCAGTAAGAAGTGCACGTTATTAGCAAAGGAGTCGACAAACTGATAATAGTAACTGATAAAAACTGGTGATGTGTCACGATTGAATAGTGCTGAAACACTCGAACTGAAGTCACCGCGAGGGAGAGGATCCATGGCGTTGCTATGGCAATGGCGTAGCTATGTGAGGATAACTGCCGATGACGAAGTGGCCGACTGATGGCAAAGAGTCTTTCAAGAGAAATAACAGTCAGTGTGAAAATGGAGGAGAGACCTGTAAACATATCGACGCCATCAAGAGCGACTAGTGGCACAAATTTGCCTTCAGAGATGACTGTAATCATATAAATCGGTATTGCAAATAATCCAACCAGGAGATCAGCTATTGCCAAATCGATTAGCAGGTAAAGAGAACGTTTGCGAAACCTTCGCTTGACAAGAACTGCAATTGACAAGGAGTTACTAATAATGATTACAAATGCTGTCACTCCGAAACAAACACTCCAGAACCAGTTCCAGCTGTTGAAGTTCATGGTGAGAACACAACACAAGTA